CAGTAAACAAAATTTTGAACAATTCTTGTAGACAATGAGAACTTACTTTTTAAAAAGTGCTTGGAAATGATTTTGCGGATACACGGTTACAGTCGGACACCGGCATTACACTGAACAAGAGGCTGTGTTTGTGGTCCCGAGTCAACCAATCGAAGAAAAAAGGAAATCAAAGAGAAGAGAAATCAAACTAAAATGAACCCACGACTTTATTTTCCAAGAGGTTGAAATCAAAGAGGAAGTCTTGCGCTAGTCAACGATTGGATGGATGCTCTCTTCTTTCTACCACTCCGATCTTCTCTTGCGTCCTACAATTGAGCCGGGGGCGGTCACTGTGGCCGGGGCGTTGCCGAAGACACAGTCCGTGCGGCTGGCGATTTTGGGCAGGTAGGCGGAGCAGGAGGCGAGGCCGGAGAAACGATTGTCGCGACAGGAGGAGGGGAGCTGGGCACAGTTACAGCTCGTGTTGTAGAGAGCCTGCTGCCCTTCACACACGTTGATGAGTGTTTGGAAGTCAACATTCACAAAGAAGTCCTGCGCAGAACAAATAAAAGGATAAGTAGAAACATGAAGCTCTTTGGGAGTCGGCGTTACGATGGAAATATCAATTTATTAAGTTAATAGTAATTCTGTTACCCAGCTTTGATCAGGATAGAAGCAAAAAGAGTGAAGCTGGTCACAATAGGAAGAAATGTACTAGAAGACGTTGTATCCTGCTATCTTGGGAGTATAATTGACAGCGAAGGAGGAAGAGGTGCCGAATTAAAGTTGCGCATCGGAAAGGCACAGGCTGCTTTCATATCTTTGAATAGGATTTAGAGAACCAGGGATATCTTACTTTGAACAAAGCTGAAGATTTTAAACCCAAATGTGAAGTCAGTCTTGTTGTATCAAAGTGAGACATGGAATGCATCTCAGACTTACATAAAATAAAAAGGATCCACGTTTTCATGAACAAGTTTCTAAGGAAGTTACTGAGGATCAGGTGGACAGACAGGGTCACTAACGAGGAAGTGTTAAGGAGAACAAGACGGAACCCAGTCAGAGATGAGGTAGGAAGAAGGCAGTGCGACTATGTATTGGACATACTTTCAGGAAGTCAGGCAACTGCATAGCAAAGAAACTATTGGATTGGAATCTACGAAGTAAAAGATCAAAGGGAATACCACGCGGAACCTGGAGAAGAGTCACAGAAATTGATGTACAGAATGGTAGGCAGACATGGAATAAAATGAAAAGGCTGGCCTGGGATATGGAAATGTGAAAAGTGTCTGTTCGTGGCCTATATCCTGGGCCAGGGTGAGAAAGGAAATGATGATGATGAATAGGCTGTCGCTTTATTTCAAGTGAGACAATCCATTGGAAACGGCTGAAAGCAGTTCGTGAATTATATGCGGAGGAATATAATTTCCTTCTATATCATAGACACTCCATCCCCCCTCTCCCCCTCCCCCCCCCTATCTTTTTTTTTCACCGGTCAGTCACTTTTTGTCGGCTGAACAGTGGACAAAAGATTAATTGCTGACGATTCGATCATCTTTATTTAGTTTCAAGTAAAGACATCATCGTCATCATCCAGTGCCAGATCTGCGACAGACATCGGCGATCATGGTTTTCCATTCATTCCTTTGCTCGGATGCTCTCATAAAAGCTACGTTTCCATGTTCTTTCCCTGTTACCCATTTATTTTGTTTAGGTTCCCTGAGTGTGTTGTTCTGGGCCTACCCCTGCCTCGCTTGCCCTCAATTTTGCCAGTGAGAGCTAGATGTTCTATGTCTATTCAGGTGTCCCAAAAACGGCATTTGTCGTTTCCTGATTGTTTTTAACATTGAGTGTCCCACGTGGGCTTCATCAAGCACAGCCTCATTCGATTTCTTTTCCTTCCACGATACTCTTAGCAGTCTCGTAAGAAACCACATATCTGTTGCTTCTATTTTATTTTCACTGTCTTTAGTGATTGTCCAGCATTCACAGCCATATAGAAGGGTTGACCAAACATAGCATTTCAGGACTTTCATTTTGGTGTTCATTGAGATGTTTCTATTTTTCAGGATTGGGCTCATTTTATTGAAACTAGCCTTAGCCATTGCAGTTCTCCTTTTTATTTTTGTGGAACACTTGGTATCAGATGTTATAATATATCTAGATATTTAAACTGTTGGACTTGTTTGATCTTTTCACCTTTGCTAATGAGATTACAACTAGGATTTGCTGCTTTTTTGGATATTACCATGCATTCTGTTTTCTATAGATTCAACAATAATCATTTACGTTCACTTTCTGTTACAACAGTATCTAGAAGCAATTGAAGGTCTTTTTCGGAACCTGCTATTAAAATTGTGTCATCTGCATACCTGATGTTATTAATATTTTCTCCATTTACTTTGAGGCCTGGACATTCTTCTATGTTTCTAAGAAGTGTTTCACTGTACATGTTAAAGAGGTCTGGTGACATAACACATCCTTGCCTCACTCCTGGCCTAATCTGCATATATTCACTGTATTCTCCATTAATTCGTAAAGCAGCATTTTGGTCCCAGTACAAATTTCTGATAGTTCTTAGATCTTTTCCTTCTATGTCTAGCTTTTCCAGTATTTTAAATAGCTCATCATGTCTAACTTTATCGAACGCCTTTGAATAATTTATGAAGCATAAATACATATCTTTCTGTGCTTCAATACATGGAAAAGTAAAGACATAGTAATATCTAATCAAAATTCAAAAAGCTCTCGACCAATTTGAAGTCGCTCTGAGACACAATAATGGTTCACTGGTGTGTTGTCGCACTACAGAGACTCGTTCCTTATATCTTTGTTTATCACGCTGGCTCGTATGTAAATCGCTCCTGTCACGGTGTGGAACATAATACGTGAGGGCTTTCCGAACACCGCCCGCCGGTGACGTCAGCCTACCTGGCGAATTCAGCTTTTGCCCATTGGGCTTAAAAGACTGCTTCTAAGTGCCAATTTGCCTCTCTGTTACTTACAAAAGAAAGGACCCGTTTTCATCAGTTACGTATAGTATGATTCAACCTGTCTCTTATTACTGCTTGTACGTCTATTGTTAGCATAATTATTGCTATTGAAATTTAAGCCATACATAGTTCTGTTTGGTGTTCTCTATGATAATATGGAACGGTAGATACAGTTTTTCCCCCATTAATTGTCCCGAGTACATGAGAATAGAGCCTGTTGTTGATGTCCAGTAACAAAAGGTACGATTTTTCGTTATGATCAATGAACTTAGACCTGCAAAGTTGGGTACACACTCTCTCTCTCTCTCTCTCTCTCTCTCTCTCTCTCTCTCTCTCTCTCTCTCTCTCTCTCTCCTCTCTCTCTCACACACAAACACATACACCCCCCCCCACACACACACTCTCTCTCTCTTTCACTCACTCACTCACGCGCTCACTCACTCACGCCCACACACACACACACACACACACACACACACACACACACACACACACACACACACACACACACACACACACACTCTCTCTCTCTCTCTCTCTCTCTCTCACCTAAAGGTGAGCCGGTAGGTATCAAATTGACTGTCTGCCTGCCTGTCTGTCTGTCTGTCTGCCTGTCTGTCTGTCTGTCTGTCTGTCTGTCTGTCTGTCTGTCTGTCTGTCTGTCTGTCTGTCTGTTTGTCTGTCTGACACCGTCCATGAGAACAGTGATGAACTAATGATAATATATGGAACGGTAAACACAGTTTTTAGGGTTTTTTTCGCATTAGTTGTCCCGAGTATATGAGAACAGAGCCTGCTGTTGATGTCCTGTAGCAAAAGGTACGATTTTTCGTTTATGATCGATGAACTTAGACCTGCAAAGTTTGGTACCTGATTGTATAAATACCGCTGGGAAGAGGAGGGTCTTTACTCACACCTTCCTCTACCTTGGCTTTTGACGTCTTCCTGAGGTGAAAAACAAAAGCAAATTATAGAATCTTCACAATGGTGAGTTGAATGTTAGACTACGAGATTACGTTTAGTTCTTTTCTTCTACAAGCTAGACTTGAAACCTGGACTTTGCGGGTTTTATTTAAATAAGCACGCGGCCAATCTTGGGAGTTAATAACTCCGAGAAGGGCAATGTATTATAAATGTTGAGCCTGAGGAAAAAGTCATTTTCAGACAATACAATACTAATCTAATGCAAGACCCTTTACTCTTCCGAGACGGGGCTCTACCCTGCCTGTCAAAGCCAACCCGGGCTGAGAGGGATACAACGTCCCATCAGAAAGACCAGGAAACTCGATACAAATTCACCCCACTCTGGAATAGAACTCGTGCCTTCTGTGTACGACGGCCAAGCACCTAACCGGTGCACCAAAGACGCCAGTTACGCTGCTGCAATATTTGTCACTCAATGCTGACACCGTGCCATAAACTTTATACTCGTACCACAAAGATACAAAATGTTCCTTCTACACGATCTGTTCTTCTGTGGTTCTACAAGCTACAATCCACAGTTAGTTTTACGCTACATGCTTTATACAATACGCAAGATAGTTTACGGCTTAACTTCCTGTATCTTAGATTTTCTTGAAAGTTGGAACATATCATTTTTAATTTTGGCCCACTCTCCGGTACAAACCCGTTTCTTTCAGCTGCACGCTTTTCCCATAATATCCTCTTTGATTCCCTGTAGAACAGTGTTTCATTCCAATGCTTTGTCGTGGGACTCATTCAGAACAACCTCTCATATTTCTCCCTCTTCTCAGTTTCGCCTGCTTTGCTCCACACTCCTGCTAGTGGTTGCCCCGTGCAGAGGACATTTTGGCAGACCTTGGAGTGGACCTTTTGGCGGATCTGAGGGAGGACATTTTGGCAGACCTTGGAGTGGACTTTTTGGTGGACCTTGGGGTGGACCTTTTGGTGGACCTTTTGGCGGACCTGTGGAAGGACATTTTGGCGGACATTGGCCAAACAACCACGGATCTTCCATCATCCTGGTCATTTTGGCGGACATTGGCCTAACATCCACTAGTTCTTGACCGCACAACCAACCCCTGTGCCACAGCCACAGCCACAGCCACAGCCACAGCCACAGCCACAGCCACAGCCACAGCCACAGCCACAGCCACAGCCACAGCCACAGCCACAGCCCAAAGCCAGTTGTCCGACACTGGTCTCAGCGTGCGCGGCCAGGCCAGCAGGGATCAGCAACTCTAGCGTGGGCGACCTTATTGAGAACGTGGTCAAAAACCTGGACGCGAACGGAGACGGCAATCTTACTGTCGCTGAGCAGGTCTGTGGGTCAACTGTCAGGTGGTCTGAGATTGTAGGTCAAGTAGGCTACCGGGTGTCTAAAAAAATGGCCAATTTAAAGGGCAATAACTCCGTCGTCTTTAGATTAATTTCAACTAAACTTCGAAGAAATAAAACTCTACCAGGAAGACGTTAAATTTGTCAAAATAATTGAATTTTGTTTGTTCGAAGTTTTGTTGATATCAGTGCCGAGATCATCGGATCATTGCCCTTTAAGAGGCCCCTTTTTTGAAAATCTGTATTTCAGCACTCCGTTTGCCTCTGAAACATTGCCTTTTTAAAACTATAGGTGGGAGCATCAGTTATCTTCAACACGATTCTGAAATAATATGTACTCCACAATAAGATATTTAAAAAGATATATATATATCATTATATATTCGTAATAGACTGACAGAACAATCATAATCAGGGCAGGTTTATGAGATGGAGACCCCAAGTTGTTGTCCTGGCCCTCGAAACATTTTTCACGCTGCCCACTCTGTAACTTACCCTTCTCTTTCCCCCACCCCGCACACTCTGTGATGACCCCCCCTCTCTCCACACACACACACACACACACACACACACACACACACACACACACACACACGCACGCACATACACACACACACACACACATTCACACTACACATACGTTGACCACTCTATACCCCCCACCCACACAAGTACAAGTATTCATTGGTACACGTACCACTCTTCCGTCCGTCCCTGCAGGTACAAAACGCCATCAAGAACTACGACACAAACCCCACAGACGGATGTGTGACCCGGGAAGAGTTTCTGACTGCACGTAGGGCAATGGGCTTCTCTGACGAGCTGAGTTTGGGCCTCATCCAGGGTGACGCCAAGCCTTCATGCAGCGGCTTCTTGATCGCCGATTTTCTTCCCTTATCAACCCTATCTGTGGTGGGTATCTTACTTCTCTTCTTCCTATTTTTTGTGTGAGCTTAAGGTTTGATGTTGATTAACTGATTCTTCAGTTTGTTTGAGTAAAGACAGGCACCTCGACACGGCAACTTCCATTTAGTGCAGAGTCAAAGAGAGATAGAGAAAGGGGACAGGGAGGATTGGGGGGGGGGGGTAGGGAGTGTTGGAGTGGCTGTGTATGGAAGGAAATTGTTTTCCTCCTCATCTAATTCACGAGCTGTTTTCATCCGATTCCAATGGATACTCTCACAAGACATCAAGTGATAGCCTGTTATTTATAACTTAATAAGCTGATTTTATGGTCATGAGCGCGCGGGACACAAGTTGATCATTTTTACATAAACTCACAACACTGCTTGGATTTTTCAAGTCGGAATGGTTGAAGTATCTAAAAATTATAATATATTGCCATCGTAGCGTCGATCCACAGCAAGCTACATGATACGTATTACCTATTTTATTTGTCCGTGCAGGATTTCTTCACCAACATCAACTTCCAAACACTCATCAACGTGTGTGAAGGGCAGAAGGCTCTCTACAACACGAGCTGTAACTGTGCCCAGCTCCCCTCCTCCTGTCGCGACAATCGTTTCTCCGGCCTCGCCTCCTGCTCCGCCTACCTGCCCAAAATCGCCAGCCGCACGGACTGTGTCTTCGGCAACGCCCCGGCCACAGTGACCGCCCCCGGCTCAATTGTAGGACGTAAGCGAAGATCGGAGTGGTAGAAAGAAGAGAGCATCCATCCAATCGTCGACAAACGCAAGCCTTCCTCTTTGATTTCAACCTCAGAAAAATAAAGTCGTGGGTTCATTTTAGTTTGATTTCTCTTCTCTTTCGTTTTTTTCCCCATTCTTCCTGGATTGGAGGGCTTGCGATCCCGATAACATCTCGTTGTTCTGTGTATTGCTAGTGTCCGACTGTAACCATGTATCTGCCAAATTTTTGGGAAAAAATTATTTCTTATTATCTTCAAGATTTGTTCAAAATTTTGTTTAGTGTTCTTTTTATTTATCTTATCACCAATTTTGATAATGGTTCAAAATGACATAGACTCTAATTTCAGACCCCCCCCAAAAAAAAATAAAAAAATAAAAAAATAAATAAAAATAAAAATAAAAATAAAAATATAGAAATATGAAAAAAAAAAATAAATAAAATAAAATAAAATAAAATAAAATAAATAAATAATTAAAAAATTAAAAACTTTTGCCTACTTTCGCGGACACACGGTTGGAGTAGGACACCGACAATACACATCTTGGGAAAGGGCGTGACGGCTGAAACGTTAATTCTTAATTAGTAACAATGTGAATAGAAACTTTATACTGATCTAATTGCACACACATAATGTAACATTCTGAATATAAGCGTTATACTTATCTACAATGTATAATTTGCATACACTATGTAACATTGTTGATAGAAGCTTCGTACTTAAAGCAAAGGCACTATTTGCGCCCATTTCTCACTTAATTTGCCCTAGAAGTCAAACGATTAGAGATAACAACAAACAAATTTGGTCTGCAAACTTGCACATCCTCAGGCCAATAAATGTATGATGGTCTAGAGCATTCTTGGCTATATTACCAAGAAGGATGATCGTTTAAAAAACCATGTGAAGGGACCAGTTTGCGATCAGGACACCTTTATGTGTTCATCGAGGACACACTAACGGGAGGAGCTACCCTTGAAGACCATTTTCTATGTTTGTTGCCCGAGATCAAATCTAAGTACACATATAAGTTAGACATAGTAAGCGCGCTCATATGACCTTAGCAGTTGCGAGCGCCGTAAAACCTTATACTATACATACATACAGACATAGTAAAATCTCTTGATACGCAATTTCATTTTGACATAGCTAAAGCGGTTGCTATGAAAACGGCCGCCATCTTGAAAATAAACAATGGATTTCAAATCCCTAAGGCTTTCTTATTTACAGACTAAATTTGACCAAATGTGGGGAGAGTATACCTGAACCAGACCCTATCAGTGTAACAGCAAGTTTTTTTTTCAATAAGTGCAAAAGAAAAATAAATATGAGAATTTTCCCAAAGTATAAAAAAACTGTAAAAAAAAATTAGGTTGCGTAATTGCTTGCCAATGGAAAAGTATTATTTTTTTCGCAAATATCTCTCTGTTACATTGATGGCAGCCGTGCCAACAATGTTTCCTGAAAGTTTCATGTCAAAAGGATGAAAACTAAGGAAGGAGTAGGGGAAAACTGCACAAAAATTACATTTTTTGAAAACCGACAATAATTGTGAAAATTCACTATATTAATCCATCCTCATGTTTTTAAAGGCAATTTACCTGGAGAATAAAGTCTTTCTCAATTGTATCCATGCTATTTTTAAACAAAAAACAGGTTTATTTTAAAAAATCAGCCAATATAAAATGTGCATAGCCTGACCCAAAATCTGCAAAATCAAGGGTCGCTCCTCCCCTTAAGCGGCCAGGGAATTGTGATGCGATCGCATGGGGATATAATGTATGCGGCCAGGACCTCCCAACATCATTTTGTAGAGTACGGTGGGGCGGGGTTGTTTTTTAAAGAAGACGTGCCTGCAGGGTAGCCTTGTCGTTGACGGACTTTGGCCAAAGATTCGAATCCCGACAGCATGATACTCTTGAGTTTCGGCTTTTTATTGACCCCCCCCCCCCTCTCGGCGTCCTCTTGAGAGAGCAAATGATCAGCCTTCGAAATGACCATCTGTGCACAGTAGGGTGTTATAAACTAAACAACATGAGTCACTATAGCCTAGTGGTAAGACGCACTCTTCATGAATATGTTGAAGATCCCGGGTTCGAGTCTCGTTGGGCCCACATTTTCCCCGAGTTTTATGGCCCGAGCGGCCGTCTCTTATATGACCTTCCAGTGTCAAAAGAGATGAAACTACCAACTCAGTACGGTACTCGGTAAAGTAAGCAAAAAAACAAAGAAGTCTTGGGAGAAACAAGTGAGATTAGTGAGAACGAAATAAAAAGCTTAATGATGATCGGCTCTTGTTACATTGACGACAATGAACGACTTTGACAGATTAAAAAACCCAATGAATTCGTAAATACTGCCGAGAATTTTGACAGACACCTTAACAAATGACCTGAGTGTATTTTTTAAAAGTCACTAATCCTCCCCCCACTCTGGAGTCCAATACTCAGCAACGCTCAGGCTTTGACCCCTGCAAATGTACTCCCATGATAACATATTATTATGATGCGAGCGTGCGCAGGTTCACTGACCGGTTACGTTGGCGAGCCCGACAAGCTGAAATTAAGACGTTTGATTTTCTTTTCTTTCTTTTTTCTTAAGTGACTGCAGTCGCAAATATTGATTTATTTTTACGGCGTTTAGAATTCACAACTTGCATTCCACAAATGTTTCGTTATCAGACCAGGAAAAGCTGAGCGAATAGCTCAATCGCAACAGGCAAAGATGAACTTACTGACCCTATCGGATTTGGTTTTATTTATTTACCTGGGTCATTCCAGGGACAATTTACATATTTCCTCAAATTCCCGGGGCACTCCCGGGTCTCGGCTTTTTTTTTCAAATTCCCGGGGCCTTGTGTCACCCTGTCAAGAGGTACAAGCGAGAGGGCAGTTTCTTCAGACTGCGCCGAAACTGATGGAGTCACTCTTGATTGATCAATCGCATTGAAGTCGAGAACAACAAACCAGGCTTTCTGAATGCATGTATGTAAGCTAAATTGCTGTTAAATGGGCACTGTTAGCAACTGACCACAACAATGTCCCTTCTCCAATGGAGTGGACCTTTTGCAGACGTCGCCGATCGCAAGAAGTCCCTTAAAAAAAAAAAAAAGGGAATACTATGCGGCCACCACTCCCTGGGTCCCTTTTTTTTTTTTTAAATTTTAAGACATTTACACACGGTATTTACTCATTACTTCAGCACATGAACCTATAATGGAATAAAAATAAAATAAGAAAGCTTTGTAATGACCATGGACAAGTGACCAGTCAAATTTTCAATTTGGGATATTTTGATCGACCAAATTCTTGAAACCACTGCCACTCTCAAACTTTGCTGCCTATCGAGACCATCTTTGTTTTGAGCATGTGATTCATGCCAGTGCATCACGGGAGCTTGCATTTGGAAAATGAAAGAAGACCTGAGTTATTTACTTTATTAGGAAAGTGGCCTCATAGTTCGGCCGGCCGCAAATAGTGCCTTTAGTCTATCAATTGAAACACAATCGAGCAATAAGGGCAAGTTACTAATGGAAAGTACAGTCGAACCTGTATAAGACGGCCACCCATTGTCAAGGAGAAAAGTGGCCGTATAAGACAGGTGGCGTCTTAGGCAGGACTGATCAAGATGGAGAAAACAAATCATTCCTTTCTAAGAAAACAAACCCTCCCTTTCTGAGGTCCCAACCGAAGGTAGTTGCATTGTTTCTTGTTTTTGTTGTTGTTGTTTTCGCTGGGTTTTCTTTTCTTTTGTAGCTGCTTTTGTGCACGGGTGACAATAAAACGAAATGTGTCAAACAAGGAGGACCAAGTGCTATGGTAAAACAAACACACGTACTATCACTCGGATAACAAGCAACTCTTCTGTCACAAGTTCATGCTGACGTCCATTGTTACTTTGTTACAGACTGGGTAAACAATGACCACTAATCTCACTTACGATTTGTGTATGGGTTCTGGACGGGGCGTATGGGTTATGAGGGATCCAACACTTCCCTCCCCAGAAGCTGAAAATTAATTTTGTTACCTATTGGTCAACAGTGGGAGGGGCCTACGCAACACGATCAGTTGGAGGGACTACCTAACAACGACAGGTTTTTAGATTATGACGGCTCGCCCACAACGCCACGGGCCCAATGCTTGATTTATGACAAAGCGTAATGGAGTCACCAAGGTGGCCGTCTAAGACAGGTGTTATTGCTTTGTGTGATAGGGGTTGTGTGTTGAAATATGGTGGCCGCGGCCGCGTTGGTCAGGTGCCCGTTTTACACAGCTAAATTATATAGAAAAAACGCAAGGGGGGAAATGGAAAGTGTCCGTTTGTACAGGTGGCCGTCTTATAGAGGTGGCCGTCAGGGCAGGTTCGACTGTAGTTAATTCAGAACACGAAGTGTATATTACAAGACCAACTTTTTCTAGATTTTAATCTTATTGAAATTTTTCCCTTCACCTATTGGTCGATTGGGAGATGACGTAAAAGACAAGTGACCAGGTTACCAGGTGCAATATTTTGCAAAACGCTTCTCTAGTCAATTTCCTTACTTCCACGTAATGGTTTAAGTTTAGTTTTATTTTTAGTAAGAGTTTAACGGCACTTAACGCAAAAATAGGTCTTATAAATGCCAAGAATTATGGTCAGAAGGCTCTTAGGAGAAACAATTAAGCAGAATTCTGAAGAATCAAAGCCCAGAACTTCGGCTTGTTACTTGTAAGTACCGACTCGAAGTGTAATTATATATTCTACAAAGACCCATAAAAGATATTTGGTTGTACCAACAATTAAGAGCTCAAAGTGTGTTGGCAAAAATAAAGATTCAATATTATAATTATTTCAAAATGGGATGACCCTATAATGTATCACTGGAAGGGGGTAGACTGCCGGATAGGCACACCGACCCACCTAGAACAATCATACAATTATTACTCATGCCAGAACATTAGAACTGCGACACAACTCAGAGGATGGATAACGCTCAAAATTGAATTGTATGGTACGTTTTAATTTTGTGTTTTGTCTCTTTCCATACCGAAGAAAGTCGTTCGAATTAACCCCGTCTTTCGTGCGGCAGAATTAAAGGGCTGAATGATCTTTACAACTCAGATAACCCTGGAAACGGATGAGAAACGACACACACAAACAAACAGAAGGTCAACGTTTCTCCTCTAGACATTATTCCGAAAGTACCGAAGTGCTCTCTCTCTCTCTCTCTCTCTCTCTCTCTCTCTCTCTCTCTCTCTCTCTCTCTCTCTCTCTCCCTCTCTCCCCCCTCTCTCTCTGTGTTACTACTACTACTACTACTACTACTACTACTACTACTACTACTACTACTACTACTACTACTACTACGACGACGACGACGACGACGACGACGACGACGACGACGACGACTACTACTACTACTACTACTACTACTACTACTACTACTACTACTACTACTACTGACCTCGGTGGCCTAGTGGTTAGGCTCTCGGACTCGCAACCGTAAGGTCGTGGGTTCGAATCCCGTCAGGGGCCCGAAGTTGTGTCCTTGGGAAAGGCACTTTACACGAATTTTCCTCACTTCACCCAGGTGGGAATAGGTTCCCGGCTATAGATCGCGAAAGATCTTGTTGGTTTGTTAGTGTTTGAGCGCTTAATCAGCTGCTTGCACTGTATGCTTCCCGGGAAGCTGAGAATGTTTCGGAGTGTTCTAAGGTCTGCTGGGGTAATAATATTGTGTAAAGCGCATAGGGCCTGCTGTTGAGTGGGGATATGCGCTATAGAAATGCTATATATTATTATTATTACTACTACTACGATTACTATTGTGAGACAACGTTTCTTTTCTCCATCATTTATTTTCACTGTCAGAAGTAGTTGTCCAGCATTCAGTCTCATTTAGCAACTCTCACCTCATACAATTTTCCAAAATCTTATTTTTGTTGTTATTGAGTTGTTTCTATTTTTAGGAGTAAACTCGTGTTATAGAAACTAACTTAAGCCGTTGAAGATCTTTGGTTTACTTTTTGTGTTACAGTTGCCACTTGTTGTAATTACGTTACGACCTTGATGCATTAAAACATTTTTTGGCCAATTAGGTCCAAGCTATTGATGTACACTCATGACATAGAGGACCTGAGTTTGATTCTTTTATGGGCATCATTTTTATCAAGTATCTCAGTCTTTTATGCTAGGACATTGTCTCTTTCAGACTGACCTGGCCCCTGACAAGCAGAGTTGAATCCCGCCTCCTAAATGATAATATTATGCTAGGCATCGTGGTGAAATCAGGCGCTCGTCAAAATGACGAAATCCAAGAAACAGGTAGATATAGATATATTTTCCCGCCAGTTAGACAAACTTCATCGAATTGTTAGTGGGGTTTTTTTTGTTTGCTTTGGGGTTGTTATTTAGTTATTTATTTGCTCCACACCATTTATATTTGTATAACAACACATTTCCATGTGAATTTTACTGAAAAATGTTGATAAAAGGTACAAAATATGTAAATTTTCAGTTTTCATGGACTCTTAAGCTATTGATATTACCAAACTTTGGCAGTCATTTTCTCGCTAATTCAACCTCTGAAACCAGGTACCACCCACCTTCTTAAATTGCAAATATCTCGACTTCTATTCAAGATAGGTGGGCATTTTTTTTGCTCATTTAGACCAAGACAGATGAACAAGCTTTTAGATGATTTAATACCGATTAATCTACTCCACTTGTTCAAAAATTGACGAGCGCCTGATTCCACCGCACCGTGACATATGTATGTCCAAAAATGGAGGGCACATGAGATCCGGTACAATTTTAATCTAGAACCTCTCTGAAACAAGAGGAAAACTGAGGACCAAAGGAAGTCCTAATGCTTTAAAAACCCATGTAAAGTCTTACCATTTTCAAAGTCAATGACGTAAGAATGCCACCATTTTTAAAGATAATAACGGTAGAAGCCTGTCTCCTAAATGTTCTAAAACGGTGTTGA